TTTGGGCCCGCAGACCGACACGTGGCACGAGCTTCGCCCGCAAGTGGATCTCCGACTGTTGGACAAACTCGCTGACTGCTCAAGTTTCGCCTACAGTTCAAACTCGCCGGGCAAATCGAGTCGGGTTTCCAACACAAGCCCATTATCATACGGGTTTCGCCCGCAGCATAAACTCGCCAGCCATTGAGTTCCGTTGCCAAGCGAAACTCGCCAGCAGATGAGCTTTGCCATCTACTTGAAATCGCCAACAAGTTGAGAGGAGCTTTCAAGCGAACATCGCCGCGATCAAGTCCCGCCTGGAAAAAAATTCGTCAATCAATTGAGTTCCACCAGCAATTCGAACTCGTCAGAAACCGAGTTTCACCATTTTAGCGAACTCGCCGTCGCCTTGATTTCGTCGATTGCATAAACTCATCGGAGCAGAGTTTGGCTTCGAAAGTAGACTCGTCGTCGCACAAAGGACTTCGCCCGCGATACGAGATCGTCTGCAATAACAGAGCAAAATACTGGAAAGCGACGTATCCAAAGGGTATACGCACAATAAGCGGGCACAAACCTCATTGAGACTTTAAGACGGTACATTTGAACAAAGTTATGGTTTTTGCAATTGCGAAAGTCATAATGTTACGTTCAAAGAAACAAAACATGCACCCAGTGTTTTAAGACAATACATTTGAACAAAGTTATGACTTCATAAATAAACAAGTCATAAGCAAAATGTCTTAACACAAATAAAACAAAAGTCTTAGTCGAACACGCTGAAAGTGGAGATCTCTTCTTTGGTCGCCTCCACCTGGCTCGCGTGGTCTTCCCGAGCCTTGTTTTCAGCAGCCTTTCGAATCCGGTCCTCGCGGTTCGACCTGGCGGCGGCATCCGCCTGGCGCAAGGCTTGCAGGCGTCGAGTTTCCGCCTCGGCACAGGCGAGCCATGGTGCGGTTGAGGTTAATAATCTGCTCCTCTAGCGAGTGTTGTTGACCTACCCAAAAGTTGGTAACAGACTCCAAATCCGCTATTTCCTTAGAGCGGGTCTCCTGCTCCAGGGCGTCCTGACGCCTGACATGAGCCATGCAAGACTCCATGTTGGCCTCCGGACCTCCCCGTAGCAAGGTCTCTAACCTTATCATGTGTGGCTCCAAGAGACGGAGTTCACGTACGCAACGGGTAGCAAGCTGATTTTCACCCGTTCGCCGTAAATCAGCCACGCGGTTATAGAGGGACTGCCTGAAACTGTCAAAACTACCCATGTCGAGTTCGACGAGGGAGATCACCTGCCTCACAGCGCTCTCGAACTCTTCGATGCGAGCCTGCCAGGACAAGGACTCGATCGGAACAGGCCGTTGGCCCGGAGCGAGCGCCGTGATGGGCGGAATTTCGAGGCAAGGTTCGGCTCCCGGTTGAGGAGCGGGATCTGAGACAGTGGGGGTCGCAGGACCCTCAGACTCGTCGTCCAAAATTAAGATAGGCTCGGCCGCATATTCCTCAGCGACCGGCTGTTCCCTTCGATCTGTAAAATGCGACAATAACACAGAAAGGAGCCAATGGAAGAATACCTACTAAGTTCACGCAAAAAATAGAAGCAGGAGGTACCTTCAGCCGCGGCAGCCTCAGCAGCGCCTGAAGAAGACGGCTCCTTCCTTTTCTTGGAAACGACCCTCTTCACCTTCGGTGCCATTAGGAGAAGGAAGAAAGGGGAAATTCGGGCTTATGAGGGAAGATGATGAAGAGGCTGTAGATCCTCTTAATAGAGGGTAGGGGCGTTAAATACCCTACGAGTCCTAGACGGTTACTCAATATTCGATTAGACCGTTCGGGGCTAAAACAGTTGAAGGGTGAGGACGAACAAGATCTAACGGTTCACGACCACGATCTACAACAACGGCCCGAATCGGGCGCGGGGGACGAAGAGGCCCACTACCTCACATTTAATGCGAAACAGCTAGCCCACGTCTCCTTAACCGGCGTACACGTGGATTAACACATGGCCCACTGAAAGCGGAACCCGGTCAAAGCCAGGTTCGCCGTTAATTCCTGCAAATTCGCCTGCGAACAAAATTCGCCTGCAGATGAGATAATCTTGCAGCAGAAACCCGCTGACAAGAGTTCCTCTGTAGTTGAGGTTCTCCTACGGCCAAATTCTGACTAATGCAGGATTACAAGATAGAGCACACACGCAAGTGACGATAGGCCAAAAACAAAAGAGCTAATTTCATTCAGGAAAAAGAAGTCCCATTACAAGCGGAAAATTAAAGGCAAATTACAAGGATTTCAATCTCAGCTCCGCCTCACGAATTTCTTCAGCATGGCGAAGCTCGAGCCTCCCTAGGACCTCACGACGAATGTCTTCCTCTGTGCACGAGATCAAGTCTTGAATGGTCTCCCTGACATCCTTGAGAGCTCGATCCTTCTCCTCGACAGAGTCAGTGGTCAATCGCCGGCGAGATTTAACGCCCTCCAACTCTTTTGCCACGCGATCACGAGCCTTCTCTTGAACGGCCAGGGAAGCCTGTGCTTCGGCTACGACCTGTTTCAGCCTCTCTACTTCGAAGGAGAGTCGGGAGAACTGACTATCGACTGTTTCCTCCTCACGGGCCACCCGTGCATCCTCGGCTTTGACCTGCTCCGACTCTGCTGACAACTTTAACTCTAGCGTCATGTTCTCGTTCAGGCGGCGATCACGATCTACCATAGCTACTCGAACTTCGCGGGAGGCGAGATCAACAAGAACAGAGCTTTCCGCACGAAGAGTGAGCAGCTGCCGAACAGCCCCCTCCACTTCGTTCAGACGCTGAAAATAGGGCCTCGCCGCGGTAGCGCCGAGCCTCTTACGCAAGAAGGACGCATCGTGTTCAAGAACTTCCTTGAATTCTTCGAAGGGGCAATTCTCCTCCAAGACCAGCCGGGTGCAGTGGGCCAAAGTATATTCAAAATTGGCCAGAGCTCGCACCTGCAGAGTAGGAGCCTCCCGTTGAAGCGGAGACTCTCGCGCCGATGAACGACCCCCAGCCGACGCTTCCGCAGGAGCAGGAGATCCCCCTATTTGGCCAGGCGCGTCCTCAAGAGCCAAATCCTCTTCCTCACTGGACAATGCCTCGTGAACCGAGACATTGTCACCCTCCTCAGATTCGCCCGCCTCCTCGGATGAGCGATTCTCCCAAGAATGAGGACCCTCCTCACCTGCGACTTCACAGGTAGGATCAGCTACAAATACACAGAAAAGAGGTTAACAGAGACCCTTCGAAAAGGACCCTACTAACGGAAGGAAAAGTAATGCTAAAATACACGCTTACCTGAGCCGGTAGACCCCTCCTCGTCTCCAGCCTCCCCTTCTTCGTCGGAAGGAATGGAGATCACCTTCCCAATCACGCCTGCATAGGTCCAATACCAATGTCAAAAGGTACGGGATCATCGTTGCGATCAAAGACGCTATGCAAAAATTCCCTCCTGATGCGGACGCGGAAGCCGCTGGGACTCCCGTCTGTGGCCTCACACCAGTCTGCGAAGGAGCGTCCTCCGAAGTCGCCAGAGCCGCCCCCAATGCAGCAGAAGGGGCAGGCAGTGCAGCTCCAGATCCAGACGTCGCTGCTCCAGGAATGCTTACCTGGGGAGCATTATCCCGACCTTCCGCCGCTCGGATGGTCTCCGCTGTCTCATCACCACGGGCCTTCTTAGCCGCCCCCGCTCGGGAACTCTCGGCCGCTGCCTCCCGTTGATGCTTCGAGAGAAGCGAGCTACTCGGAGACAGAAGCAGCGCCCCCATTTGTCCAGTGGTCGGACTTTGGACCGGTCTTGGGCGCCCGAATTCCCTTGGTTCGACAGGGGCATCCAGCGAAGGACAGGGAGAAGGAACTCGAACCTCGGGAACCTCGGATTCGTCTAAGCCGGCGTCAAAACCCTCGGTATCCTTAATTGGATCATCCGAGAACAACTCCCTAGCAGTTTGGTGGCCCCTTCGCCTCGAAGAGCGGAGAGAACCCCTGATAGGACGATCGCGTTCCACCAGACATGAGTTCTGGAACCAGAAATTGGCAGGATTAGCACTAGCGCCCCGATACCAGCGGCAGTATAAGAGCGTGTGGTGTAAATCGCGATCCCGCGCGGGCAGCTCAAAACGAGCCTGGGTGCCACCAGCATGAGTCCAGAACCATCCCCGAGCGCCATCCACCAGTCCTCCTTCAAAGCGCAGGTAGGGATTGGCGTTGCCCACATACAATTGATCATACCCAAACTGGCGGGCGAACCTGCAGGGGATGTATGGCTCGAGATAGCATGTAGGGCCCGTTCTCAGAATGTGATACCCCGGTCGGATATTCACCAACCAGCGAAAGGCACCGCGAGTAAGGACCGTGTAGTGATCCGCCGTCGGAGCATCCCTGAGAATTTCTCCATACCCACCCCCGCTGAAATAAGGGAAGAAGCGGCGAAAATTATAATGCCCGAAGTGGGAGAGCGTCTTCCTCGCATCAGGGATGTCCTTGCATTTCCAAGAGCACCTCTCCAAGCGCTGGACGAAGGGGACAAACTTATCGCCCTGGAGCACCGCCGGGGCGCTCATCAAACATTCGCAGTGGTATACGAACCACGCCATCAAGTAGGTGTACGGTAGCCCCACCCTAGGATTGGGAGTTTTGATAACTACTCCTTCCCCCTCATCAAGGACCGACACACGGCAGAATTGGGCCGTCAGAGTACGGAGCCCCCGATGAATGCACGCTATCGTCGCCGATACCAGGGAGTAAGACTTCCCGTGAGCTAGGCAAACCGCCGGATACACGACCTCCATAGGAAGAGCCTCAAAGGAGTGAGTGGGGATTACGCACCTCTTCAGCCATAACATGAGGTACCCCGCGAGCAGCGCCTTCCCCGAGATGAGGAACTTTGCTTGATGATGGAACGAGTGGAAGACCGTACCAAATGTAAACCCGCCCTCGTCGCGGTCGAGAGTCATGGTGCTTCCTTCTTTAGCTGTCCTCGCCTCCACTTCGGGCTGGTCGCACGCTCCTAATGGGAGAGCGGGATTCCCCTTGACATCGTTCCCCGGGAACAGGTAATCAGCCCAATTCTTGTGGCTGATCCCCGGGGTCTTCTTCTTCTTCCCCTTGTGATCCGAGGCCCCTAGGGTACTGAGGCATATGTGGTAGTGGCAGAGTAACTCCCACAGAGTTTCAACCACCAAAGGGGAATGGTTCGACAGCTGGTAAGGAAAGTCTCCCAAAGGCAGCCCCGACACGTCGTACATCTCGTGAGGGGTGATACCAAGCTCACCTTGGGGGTGAAAAATGTGCTGCTTTCCGCGCAATACAGTTCCAGGATACTATGGAACTGAGAAGCGTTGATCCGCAAGCCGTGTCGA